TGTTGAAATTATAATTAATATAATTAATATCAGTATACATTATATTAATATAATTAATATATTTAATATATATTTTTAAAATAATAAATTATATATATAATATTTGGGATGGGATGAGATGTCTTGAGGGCAAGCTCGTGTCCTATCTCATATCTTTCCTATCCTTTTTGTAAAATCCTGTCTTGATAGTTTTTGAGTAGGAATAGGTACACATTAAACACCCTTACTTTGAGCTAATAACACATAATAAATGGTCCCAATTAATATAAAAAAATGTGTAATAAATAAGTCCTATCAATTATCAACTCCAACACTATGGCAAAAGCCACATGGAATGCTCTCAATAGCTGGGTTCGACCCAATGAATTGGAGGTTCACTTGCATGTAGATGTATCTTACAAGGATGGCATCTCATATTGTTGTGAGGTTATTAGAAATGCTGATACAGAGTGGATAGAATCTTATAATTTAACAGCGGGTAGCTTGCCACTTACGATTGCAGAAATTGTGAGTTTAATTCAGGGGGTTGGAACTGTGTTCATATTTGGACATGTTAGAGTGAAAGCTTAAATGGATTGTCCAGAAGTGAACAAGATATTGAGCTACACCCTTGCAAAGATAAAATTGAATATGCTAGATTCCTCTTGTAAAGCTATAGTTTTATTACCTTAGATTTTATTTTTAGAGGAGTCAATCTTTGTGGTTATTTACTTGCTAGTCATGCTTTTAATTATCGTAGTCACTTTTACTCTTATGATCAACTCCCATATTATTGTAGAAAGGTGGAGAATGATGATAAAAATAAGACCTTAATAGAAACTTGATGTGTATGCCTTTTTAGTAATATTATCTAGCTTGTATTTTAAAAAAAATAAACTGACACAATATTTCTATATTTATATTTATTTTATAGTGTGTTTAATTTAAAAATAAATATAATGTGATTCATTTATTAAAGGCATTTTTTAGAAAATACACATTAATTATACCTTAAAATATTAAAAATATCTTACATTTTTTAATGTTCAACTCTTCAAAAAAATGTCTTATTTTTTTAATGGGTTGTAATATTTATGGCGTTATAGTTGAAGGAAATCATTTAAGATATACTTTTTAGTTAATGTCCGATAACTAATTCACTCATTTAAAATAATCTATGATATTTTAATGTCGAATGCCATTTATTTTTAATTCAAATGTCTCTCTTGATAGACATTTACATAAAATACTTGAAGTGAAATGAGATTGAACTTCCACTCCCCCTCTCGTTAATTAATCTGAATTGTGCCACTGCCATATATTTAAGCGTTAATTATTATAAATTAATTTATTAATACTATATACCAACATAAAATATAGAAACTTTTATCACCTTTAAAAGGATGAAAGAGCAAATTGCCCTTAAATTATAAGTTCAGGTGTTTGGACTCTTAACTCATTTTTTTTATAATATTTCTCTTTAATTTTTAAAAATAATGTCTGACTCTTACTATTAACAAGAGTTAATTTTAACTTATAATTGACCAAAAAATAACAAAAAAACCCAAAAATTATAGAAAATGAGAAAAAATACAATAAATGACCCAAAAATTACATATAAAGACCCAAAAAATACAACAAATGATCAAGAAAAATTTATTGGTCTTTTATATAATTTTTAAATTTTTTATTATTTTTTGATCAAATAACAATCAAAGTTAACTTTCATTAATAATAAGATCTAGATTACACCATTATCAAAAATTGAAAGAAAAAATTGCACAACAAATGAGTTTAGAATTCCATACGATCTTAGACTTACAGTTTAGAGACTAATTTGTTATTTTACCCTATTTAAAATAATGAAACTTTTGAACCCTCCAATTTCCTTGGATAAAGTTTGATTATCTCTTATATTTATATTAACTCACAAATAGCAAGCCGCATGATTTACTTTTTAAATTTAATGTAAATTAAAAAAATCTGTTAAATTATAAACTTCAAATGACATTACATTCAGGGATTTTTGGCCTAAAAATTGGGATTTGGATAAGAGGTTGTGTGGGAAAAATTTGATCCCTACTTGGAGCGTCACAAAAATCAAAAAATAAAAGAACTGATATGAGAAAGGTAAGCTTTGCCTTTTATTTAAAAATGTAAGATATTTTTTGAGGAGATGGATGTTAAAAAATGTAAGGCATTTTTAGTCTTTTGAGATTTAATTATTACCTTTTTTTTTCTAAAAGTACCTCTATTGATAATGACTTTATATTTATTATAGGGTATTTAATAGGGGTAAATATGAAAAGATAGGATTAGTTAAAAAGTAGATAACTACTTTATTAAAGGGTAAAATTTACTTAAAAATGCCTTACACTTTTTAATTGAGAAAGTATTATAATTTTAGTTTAAATTAATAAACATCTTTTTGCACACAAAACAAGGCAAGCTTGATACATGACCCTCATCAAACTTAGCCGATGCTTTAAGATTAATAAAATATGACATTTTAAAACCACTACTCTAGACGCTCTCGAACTCCCAATTTTAAGATCAATAAAAGTTGACAAGAAATATTGACACATTTAATGAGTTTATAGTCTTAAACGCTCGTGTATTTAATGTTTAAGAGTCAATTTGTTCTTTTACTTATTTCACATTTTCAATAGTATATTTTGACTGTTAAGGATATTGATCAAATACCCCTAAATCATCCAATGTTGTTCTAAAACCCACAGTTTTGTTTAGATCGTTTGATCCCGTTATAGAAGTAAATTGCAAATTACAACCATCTATATGTATCAATATCAACAACGGAAGTCAAGCAGTTAAAATTGATACTTGTTGCAAAACCATGAAACACCCAACTTACGTGAACAAGAGTTGCAGAGATGGAATGTGATGAAAGATGATACATTGAAATGAGATCTTCACACAAAATTTGAAATCTAACCAGTAATAAGATATCTTATAGTAAAATCACACACGCACACACATAAGGAAACTGAACAACCTGATATATAGGTCAGATAAACTAGAAACATCTGGTATTGAATATCTACATTCATAATTCCTAATAACATCTATAAAAGACATTAAAACATACAGTTACTGAATGATCAAAACTGATAGGGATTCACTTTTCACCCAAAAAAAAAAAGAAGAAAAAATGCAAAAGCAAACATTCATGGTAATAAACTAATAATTAACTTTTACAATCAAGGTTCATCAACGTGAATGTTGCCAAGTGTTACAAACTTACAAGGCTTTCCGCATAATTGAAAACTACACTACCAACGCCATGTCTATGGATGTCAAACCTCTTAATTTCATTGGTAGCGACATTGAATAGATGCAGACCAAGTTCTGGTTCCTCACTCAGCATTGCAAGACCAGTTTCACAAGGATGTTCAACACAAACAAGTGGAGGCATATAAATTCCATAATCAACGCCTACAATTTCATTCCTCCAAATGGGCTCAGGAAATAACATGTATGGATAAGGGCTAGTAGCATATTTCTTACTCCAATTCCATCTCTTCCCAGATGAATCCACCTGTTCCTCCCACACCCACAAATCAATCAAATAATATGGGAAGTCTTCAGTTTCATGAGAATAAAGCATAGCAAGTTTGTCCTCATACACAGTAAGCCGACTAATCCCAGACCAAGTATGACAACATAAAGCAGGCCATGGTATCAATGTAAACAATTCTGTTGCTATGTCAAATGAAACTATAATTTCAAAACTATCTTCACCCACCTCTTTTTTTAAGTTGAACGCATGCCAAAAGATACTTCCATTAGCAGAAACAATATAAGGAAGAAGACGCACAGCCTCTAAGTTCCCAAATTCTATTTTTCTCCATGTATTTGTGCTCAATGAATACACTTCCACCCCAGAAATTGCATAACCAGACTCAGCATGCGTTCGCACTATCCTATAATCTAAGAAGCACCGAAACGGGTACGAGTATCGGGTACGATACGATACGATACGCGGACACGGCTATTTTCCAAAATTTTAGGATACGGGTACGACTATATAAATAATTAAATATTAAATATTTGGATGTCTAAAAACACAATTTCAAGATGTCTAATGCCATAACAAAATATAATACAATAAATAGTCAAGCACTTAAACACTATCAAGTGGCAAAAGATAATTATCAACTTAAAGTAATTCTAATCTTCCTCATCTTCATTGACACCACCACTTTCTCCTATAAGTTCTCTCTCCAAAATTGGCTCATCTAGAGATAAACTTGCAACTTCAAGATTTTCAACATCATCTATTTCCCAACAATCTCCACTAATATCCCACAATTTACTTTCTCCAGTAGAATACTTCTCACTCTTTCTTGAAAGAAGATGAAGATTTGAATGAACAAAAACTAAGTTCTCTGCTCTTTTTGGAAGCATCTTATTTCTCTTTAGTGAATGAACAAAAGAGTAAGTGCTCCAATTTCTTTCACAACAAGATGATGAGCATGGTTGATTGAGAAGTTTTAATGCAGTCTCTCGAAGTTTAGGAGCATCAGCACCATGATTGCTCCACCAAGCCTTAGGCTCTAATACCCATCTATCTTGTATGGAATCAACAAAAGAGAACTCATCTGAACATTTAGAAAATTTTGAAAATTCATTCATAACCAATTTCCTCTCTTCTTCATCCGGAAACATCCTTCTAATGCACTTTTTCCTCTCAGTTGATATTTCAGCATCTCTATGTGGAGAGACTCTATTTAGTCCACCTTCAAGCCATTGTGTTGTATAATACCTACAATAATATAATAACATTAATTGGAGTTGTGATGTAAAAATGATAAAGAAAAGAATTTCATGATCAAAAATAAGAATAACACACCTATGATTCAGTGAGTGGGCAAGACAATGTAGTAGAGTGGCACTCTTTGTCCATCGATCAATGATGATGTTATAAACAACTTCATAAAATGAAGAGTACTCAAAAAGTGATTTTCTCTCATGCTTACAAATTGATTCCTTGATTTGCTCTATCATTGAATCCCACATCTCATAAATCAAATGAAGTGTGGGTCTATCTGTGTCAGCAAATCTCAACATATCATAAATTGGTTTAGTGAAAGAGAGAATATAATCAACCTTCTCCCACCAAAGATCATTAAGAATTATGTCCTTCACAGTAGCAGCCTTTCCAACATCATCATCTCTATAAGCATTCCATTCTTCACTAATAACCAGTGTACGAAGAGAAGTTTTGATAAGTTTGAATCTCTTCAACATCACAATTGTTGATGCAAATCTTGTTTCGGCTATTGCAAGCAATTTTAATGGCACGAATTCATTAAACATGGCCAATCTCATAGAATGATTCATGATAAATGTTCGGATAAAGACTGCATCATCCCTCACCTCAGTGATCCAACAGCATTCTCCATAAACAATTTCATTTGCCTCTGTATTTTTTGCTGCACATATATTCTTCAAGGCAAGATTAAGTGTATGCACCACACATGGTGTCCAAAAGATGTGAGGATATTCATCTTCCACCATCTTACCAGCAGATTTACAAACAGGTGCATTATCAGTAATTACTTGAACAACTTTATGAGGCCCCACTTCTTCAACCACTTTCTTTATCAAGTCAGCCATGTAAAATCTATCTTTATACTCACTAGTTGCATCAATTGCCTTCAAAAACATGGGACTTCCATCACTTACAGCCATAAAATTAATTAATGGCCTTCTTTATTCATCTGTCCAACCATCCGTAACTATACTTACCCCCTTATGATTCCAAGTCCCTTTAATTGATTCAAGTTGCTTTTCAACATTGGCCCTTTCTTTTTGCAACAAAGTAGACCTTAGTGCATTATAACCAGGAGGTCTAAAACCAGGAATTACATTGTTGGCAGCATATTGAAATGTACTAATAAAATATAGGTTACGTGCCAAATTGAAAGACAAACCAGCCGAATAGAACATTCTAGCAATTTCAGCAGTTAAATTATCTCTAGCTCCTTGTTGGAAAGCTCTTTCTATTGTATTTTTTGCCCTCCTTTTTCCCTGATTGTGTTCACTTTGAATAGGGGTAGAACCCCTTTGATATAAAGGAGACAAGCTCTCAGTTAGAGTTGGCAATGGCACATGTCTTGGTTTTGTTCTATTCTCAGCCTCCTCTTGAGCTTTTCGCATTTCACCTAAACAACTATCATCAACTTTCGGGCATATAGCAATACCCTTTCCAGAGATCCTCAACAAATGAAATTTAACTCTAGAATAAGAGCCATTATATTGGTTATTACAATAGTTACACTTCCAACTTCTATTTCCACCATCCCCTTCATTTTCTTGAGGAACCAAAGTTACATAAGCCCATAAAGGAGTACTCTCTTTCTGTCTTTTATTACTAGATTGAAATTGAGAATTCACACTTCCTGAATTACTACCGGGTCTAGAATTAGAAGCCATTGCAGGTTTAATTTTAAACAATATCCTGCAATTTTAACAAAAAGAGAGCTAATAAAAATTTAAAATAAATCAATGTTTAATTCAACAAAATAATCTATCTAAATAAAAAAAATTAAATCAGTAATTCAATATTAAATTTAAAAACTAATCAATTGCTCTGGCTCTCTCTCGGTTCAGCAGTGAGCAAATTATCCAACAATGCAATAATAAGAAATTCAAAATCAGCAGCCAAATCTGATAGATACATAAAGAACGAGAGGCAGCGCATCGAAGAACGACCATACATGAAGAACTGAACAAATTACCAAGATTGAAGCTGAAGAACGACGGTGAGGCAGAGGCAGAGCAGACGGTCGAAGACGTTGAGGCAGAGTAGACAGTCGAATACGAAGACTGAGGCGGAGCAGACGGCGAGGCAGCGTGAATAAACGTGAGAGATGAAGAACGAGAACGACCAACACAGGCAGTGAAGCTACAGAGCAGAAAACACGAGAAGGGGGTCGATTGGAGCTGAAAATGTTAGGGCATAGGATTTCTGGAGCTGGGACTGAGTTAAAAGAAGTGAAAAATGCAGAGTTTCGCGTCCGCCCGTGTCCGACCCGCGTCCGCCCGTGTCAACCCGCATCTGCCCGCGTCCGCCAGAAACTGGGAAAAGGGACGCGCCGTTCCCCCGTCCAGAACGTGTGTCCGTGTCGGATACGTATCCAACACGGACACGCCGGCCATTTTGGCGTGTCGATGCTTCTGAGCTTATAATCATTAAGAATTGGACTGAACCCAAATCCTACCGTGAGACTATCCTCAACATAAATAGTAGTTTTGGTCTTCGGCAACTGCCTGACCTCTCTGATGGCAGGATTCCATAATAAGAGGGCAGAAGTAGATAAATCAGACTGTTCGGCTGCAAGACAGAGCAAGCCATTGCTGGAGCCCAGGATTCTAACAGATGAAAAGGAATCAATCAAAGGTGTATTCTGAACTTCACGCACTTGCATCTCGCAATCGAGCAAACGTAAAGGCTCACGTGAATAATCACAGGAGAAAAGAAGCGAAGGGTTTTGATGAGTGGAGTGGTGGAGGTGGTCAGCGACAAAACATGGGGTCTGGATGAGATTTTTCCAATGTTTACATACGCATTGAAAACGGATTAAGGATTTTACAGGTAGTCTTTTGAGAATGTTTATGATGATTTCTTCAGGAAGATGCGGCATATCACCGTCCACTCGCATCTGCTTCATAGTGCTAGGCCAAGCGAAAACAGATCTCTCAAATGAAAGCAGAATAAGGCAGAGGCTGAGAATCAAGCAAAATACCTGAAGTAATCGACGGCGGAGAAGAAATCTCACACTGGAAATCTATCAGAGAAAGCATACGAAATTAGAGGCTGAGAATCAAAGCAACGTCGAATGAGAAGAGGGAATTTTGCGGAGGAAAACCATCGAAATCAAACCAAGTTTATATCAAAAATTATTATTATTATTATTATTATTATTTGGGCCATTATCTACAAGAAATTAAATATATATCATCATCATCATTATTTTTTGAACAAAATTATTGTTATTGTTATTATTATTATTCATAGTTACATTTGTGATCTTTTAATATCCTATAAGTTGACGATGATTAAAGCAATGCAATCTTGCAATCTTTTAAATATTATATCTATCAAAAATTAATATAATATTATTCAAAATTTTAAATATCATAACTATATAAAAATTATCATCATAACTATATAAAAATTTATCATCATGATTTCTTATCATTATTCTCCATAGTCAAATCTGATTTTAATTTTAACTTTATAATTTAAAGTTATTCAAACATTCTATCTATTATCTGTATAGAGTTATATAATGATATGAATGATACGGGAAGAATTACTTTAGGGTATTTTTCCCACAATTCTATAGTTGGAAAATAATATTTTGACTAATCACAACCAATTTCTTTTTATCAGCTACTAATCGTGGCCAATATATATTGACCAGCTATGAACTTACTATACATGGTATTAAAATACAATTTGGGTTCAAAGGGAAAAAAAAATCAATCTGGGTTAGCTAATCAAACCAGAATCAATGGCCGATGGGAGAATTTCATTTAAAGACCTAGGTAGCAATATATCTTCCAATGGATTCCAAAAGAATGCGACATTTCAATTTAGTCTCCCAAGACTAAATTGAAAATAAGTAGAATCAGGAAAAGATGAAACTGGCCTTGGTGCAAATACTAAAAAAATGAGTTTAGTTTTGTGTGATAGCGGAAGAACGAGCAAGACATTTTTTTGAAAAAAGAACTGCCAGGTTCAAGTTCTCCTCTCTATTTATCTTCATCAAGGTTGAGACTTTTCAATTTACATCCTCATCTTTGGCCAAATTTTTGCTAATGTTGTCACTCCCATCTTGAAGGATTTTGTGTTTCATCATCTATGGTGTACACGCAAGCGAGAAAGTGGAGTCTTCTCTTTTTCAAATTCACTCAATCACTTGTATCCTTCTTCCTTTTGACAATAACTTTGTTTACCATTTAGTGTACAGATTTTCCTAGTTATTGGGTGTGTTAATTTTTTACCCTACTTTCCTGTGTAATTTATATTTTGAAATTGGAATATGATTTTAAAAAAAATAAAGTTAGTCTGGTGATTTGCAATTGTTGTTAAATAATTTACTAGTTATTAATAGCAACTTAACAATATATATGTCAAGTTGTTGGTTTATAAATGATAGAAAGAAAAATGACAAGTAAACATAGAAAATTAACAAGACTGATATATGAAATTAATAAGTGGTACTGAAAGAAATATCCTCTAGTTGTAAATTGTATGAAAGTTGATAATAGGGAAACGTAAGCAATTTACATGTGTTATACAGGATGTTAACATGTGGTATTGAATGAAATATATGTTGGCTGTAACTTTTTTGAAGCTTGATAACAAGTAAAGCTACGGAATTTACAAATTTTATATGAGAGATTAACAAGTGATGTTCAATAATAAAATGACTGTTGGTTGTAAATTGTATGAAGGTCAATAATAAGTAAATGTAGGCAATTTACAAGTGTTATACAAGATGCTAACACGTGATATTGAATGGAAATTTTGTGAAGCTTGATAACAAGTAAAGCTACAAAATTTACAAGTCTTACATAAGAGATTAACAAGTGATGTTAAATGAAAAATCTGTTAGTTTACAAGTTTAATGGTTTGTAAATTATGTGAAGGATGATAGCAAGTAAAGTTAGTAAATTTACAAGTCAAATATTGTATATTAACAAGTTGCATTGAATAAATAACATAAGTGTAAATTTTTTTAGGGATATTAAAAAATGGTGGATGAAAAAGCTAAAAATAAAAAGCATCCTAAACAACAAATTATTGGATTTAGAATATTTAGAAAAGAATTTCATAAAAAAATAAGGGAAAGTGCCACACTTTCAAAGGTGCTACAAAACGTGTTGGAGAAGCTTGGAAAAAGCATAATGCTGAGGAAAAAGAACAGTACAGACAAGTGGCAATGGTTGAAAGGAAAGCTCAAAAATATGTTTCACCATTCAACACGAGATGTTCTCCAAGCAAATTTAAAGAGGTGGTTTGATTTTGTGAAAGAGAACAAGAAGCTGAAAAGGAAGGTTGACAAACTTGGTTTTAGGAGATTACTTAACATTAGTTATAAGAAAATTCCTCGAGAGCTATGTACCGAGCTAATGAGTGCTTATGATCCTCCAACTTGAAAAATGACTATTAGAGGGAAGTCTATCAAGTTGATAAGTGCAAATGTTAGGGAGCTGTTGGGCATACTTGATGAAGGGGCTAAGGTGATAATGAAGGTAGATAAGCATATTGTTGATGGGCTAAAAAAAGAATATAGTCCATTATCATACACCCAATTGAAAGAGAAAATTGTAGAGGGAAAAATAATGATGATTTTAAGTTTCTATTTGTGTTGTATATATTAGGAACTCTTTTTTGCCCGACTGCCTCTCCTAGTGTAAGTAAGAGGATGTTGAAGATCATGGCATGCGCAAACAATGCATGGAGAAAATTTGATTAGGCTATCCTTGTATTGAATGAGCTATCCATGGAAATACAATAGTATAAGGAAGTTATAAGGAAAGGAAAGTTGTGCAGAAGCAAAAATGTTTGAGGCTGCGTGTTGTTCTTATTAGTATGTTTGTAGTTATTTTGGTTGTTATATCAATTATAGCAGTTGTGATAATAGTAATATTACTTGTAAATTATTTTGCACATATATTTTTTTTTTCAAAATT